AGACTTTCGTTCATCCCTTCTGGCCCCCGGGGCCCGCTCCGAAGCGTTCGGCCCTGAGGCCGCATCGCAAATTTCGACCTCCAAACAGGCCAGTGTTAGGTCTGCAGAAGTCTATAGAAGTCTCAAACTTAAGGCTCTGTGTGCCAGGCTCCATCTTGCCTTCCCACAACAAGCTCCTGAAGCTGAGAGCTGGCAATGGGCTCTGGCACATCGACTCTTCATTCAAGGCTTTCACCGAGTCTTTTTGTCAACGCCTGGGTCTTTAGAATGCTCAACTTCACGGGAAGGTGATGCCAGCCCTGGCTTCGCTGATGACGGGGGATGTCGTGGTGCCACCAGGTGTCTTTGCGTGTCCTGTATGATGTCATACCCACTCGAACAAAGTCACAAGCGCGATATCCAGGAACTGGTGGAGAGACGGAGTTTGCTTCTTCTCGACTTGCTTTCGATGCGATGGACGCACCACGGCAAGAAGAGCTCGAATGTCTCATCTGCAGCTTGACTGCATGGCATGTCTTGGTTGAGTGGTGTATGGGGCATGAACTCAGTTGGGATTCGAAGAGTGTAGTGCCTTCTGAGTGACTGAGGTGTCCATGACTTCCGGTACAGCCTTAGCCTGACTCGATGCTCCGCTAAGTTCTTGCGGCGCCTTCCTCCGGCACGACACTTTCTTGTGCGAAGCACGTCGGCTGGCAGGCCATGGCTTGCAAATCCTTGATATAGCTAGACTGAGCATTTAAGAAACGCAGTAGAAATATTGGTATGAGGATGAGAAGGCAAAGACTCTACTAGCCATCATGAAGGTCCTTCTTCGCCGGCAAGCATTGCAGTCACATTGAGGGCATGCCATTGCGGGCAGGGCGTGCCTTAATCAGGACCTGCTTGCAAGAGCGGTAAGCGGGTGTTGCAGTCACAGCGGCTACTGTGTACGAAAGAGCCCGCAGGAAGATCAACAAGCACGTCACCCAGGATGAGTAGCTCGACATTCGTCGCTAGTGGTGCTGAGTGATTCACAGGGTCGCGGAATGTCGCGGACAGTACCATGTTAAGCTTGTGAGGCTTTTTACTAGAAGCACGAGAAGCTGTTCATGCGTCTCAAATACTTCACTGCCAGTTGCCTGCTGATTTTCTCAGGTTTATCTACCGGCACTCATGGTCTGCTGGAGACCTCGTGGTTTGCGACAACCGGAGCTGTGTTCACCGAGGAAGAGCTTGGCGAAACCCAGAAGATGTCAAGCGGCAGATATCTCTTGTGAAGATTGCAGAAGGCCACAAGACGTCCAAAGAAGCCAGTGTACAAAGATTCTGAGCAAGGCTGGTCATACTTTTGCTCACTTGCGATACGCTACAGGTCGCAACGAAGTTGCCGTTGGGCTTCGGGGCTGCAGCTGGGCTCCCAGGTCAGTCAGGGCTAGAACCACAGACGCCGGGGGCCCCTCAGCTTTTAGAATCCTTCCCCTTGCTTGTTGGCCTACTGTCCATCTGACCTTGATGTGCAAACTCACAGCAAAGAATCCTTCAGCTGCATTCAGCGCTTGCAGAAGTAATCAAGCTGCTGACTGAGGATCGCTGTTGCAGGATTTGAAGCTGCCGGTGGGACCCATTGCTGAGGCTGTCCACATGCTGCCATACCGCAGCGCTTGGGTTCTTTTGTTACTTGCTTGCCTGACTGCTCATGGTTTTCATGATCACCTCAGCATTTCCCAACCAAGCGCTGGCTCTTCGTTTGGGCCCACCTTCCTACGTGGCTCCATCTTTTGGATGTCTCTCTCATTGTCACATATGGTTCATCCACACGTGTCATGCCGCGTCATGCCTCTCAGGCTGCGTGACGGCGTCGTGTCAAGGAATTGCTGCGAAAACACGCCAGGCTGCTCCGCTGCCCGACGAGGCCGAGGCTCTGGCCATGCTGCAAGCGGTCGGCTGGGAGGCCTGGGATCTGCCATAGCGGTTGAGTGGTTGATTTCATGCGGTGTGCCTCCCTTTTGCTCAGATGCCTCACATTGTCTAGCAGCATAAAGCAAAAAGAAACGTACATGCATCGTTTTAGAGTTCATCTGCAGGACCTTGCTTCTAGCAGACGGGACGGGAGCATGCAGCCTGTCCAAGCTATCCAGCTTAGCTATGCAGCTTCAAGGCTTGCATGAGAGAATGGCCTGTGACAGTGACAGCCATCTTGCACCCTTCTGTGGGCCTAGGTACTGTCAGCAAGACCTCCCTCTGACAGGAGCGCATTCGCAGAAAAAGTGCCCATGGCGCGTGCTGTAGCGCAATAGCTCAATGCTTGGATGGCAAAGATACATTTCCAAGCTACTTCCATACTGCATGAAGGTCGGAGTCTGAGGTGTCAATTTCACTGCGTAGCCTTCTCTGTTCATGCTGCTGTTCATGCTGCGCGGCAAGCAGGCCCGCAAAGCCTTTGCAGACATATTGAGCGAGGGACTTCAGCCCAGCGATGCGGTCTCAGTCCACCGTGTCAGCATTATTGATCTTGTCGCACAAAGAGAGATGTATTCTGATCTCAAACTGTGCTGCAGGCCCAGACATTTGGCGCGCTGGTCAACGCAGCTGTGCGGGTTGGAGATCTCTCGCAGGTGAATTGCTGCGTCTTAGCGACCAGCTTGCAAACTGACCTGTTCACCCCGCACAGGCGCGGACTTGGCTGGCTGAGTCCACGAAACACGGAGTGAATCCCGGTGTCGCAGCCCTGGTATTGGCGAAATGGAAGCAGATCGCACCTTAATGTGAGTGTCGCTGTTGCCTCACCTCGATCACAAACAGGTGCTAGGTGCTTTAAGCATGCTGGTGCAAGTGCGTTCCAACAGCCAAAACAGCAAGTTCTGCCTGGAGTACTGTCCTCCACACAAGCCACGTTTTGTTCAATCCTGAAGCAATCTTCCAACAGCCTTGAGAAGGCTGATGTTCCAGGGCAACCCACGCTTCTTTGCAAAGGTGGTGGCGTACACCACGCTGATGAAGGGCCTGTGCGAATCAGGTCAGATGAGCCAAGCCCAGCAGGCTCAGATGACATGGACATTGCCAAGTTTTGCATGGGCTCAGGCTTGAGCTGAGCTGCTTTAATTCTGTGGTGAGGCTCTTGATGACATGCTGCTCGCTGGATGCCAACCCAACATTCGAACAGCGAATACGTTTCCTGGCCATCTGTACACAGCGTAGCAAAGTTTGATGCAGCCCAACTTGGTTCCATGCATCGTTCTAGCCCAGCTCAGGCTACTGCGAGGCATCGCGTGCACCATGCATCATTGAGTCAGGCTTCCTTTGCAAATATGGTATGTTGCTTTGGACCGTTTGGAAGCTCTCCTGTGAACAGTTGTGCTTTGGACAGTTTGACGTTTCAAAAAGGCTTTCGACGTTTGACGTTTCAAAAAGGCTTTCGACGGGCTGGAGAAGTTGAGGCTTCGCTGGAACTTCTCAGGCAACAATGCGCAAACCTCCTGCTGCAGCTTGGATTCTTTTCGTTCGAAGGCGTATGGATGACGAGTGGCATCTTGCCCCGGATGCAGGGCTGGCATGTCACGGTTGCATGGGATGGATTCGGAGCAATTGGCGCTGGCAGGCGACAAGCTGCGAGTACGCAGTGGCGCTGCTCTGCCAAGGTCTCCGCGTCAAAGCTGCGCGTGCCCTGCTCAAAAGGCACCCGTGCCAGAAGTTTGCATTGCTGTCCAAATTTGCTCTGCATTTTGTTGCGACATGTTGCTCTTGAATCTCTAGTATTAAAGGTGTCTTCATAGGCTTCAAACATAGGTTTCATGTTTGACATGTGCAGGAGCTTGGGTAGGGCCACGGCAACAGTTGCAGAGAATGATGCCGAGGGCGCTGTCCTTGCAAGATCCATTGGGCTGGGGGGCATCAAGCCATTTGTCTGATCAGGCGCTGAGGACGCCTTCATGACCTGGGAAGGCACACCATAGCCGCAGCACGGCGAGCCTCAGGGGCTTGGGAGGGTTTCTTTTTGTTCTGGAGGCGGACAGGCTGCAGCATATCGCAACCGCGCCAGTGGGAGCCTTCAGAGATTCAGCGCACGTGCTGGCTTATGCCCTCGAACTGTACATGCCCAAGGCCTTTGGGCAATGGTTGCCGAAGCTTCGATTCTCTGCAATGAGCCGCGCTTTCGGGTCCTTGTCTCCGATCGTTTGTCTCATGTTGGTTTGGGTGCCGTCACACCAGCAGCACAGCAATCATGAGCAATTGTCAGCTCGACATATGTATGGAGGCACGGCGAGCGTTGAAACGTGCAAAGGCATTGCGCCGAAAGGCATCAGTGTGCTTCGCTTGAGCCTGCAAACTGTCAAGCTGCGGGGAGCTGCGCGCAGGCGGCGAAATGTCAGAAGCAGGCTTCTCGCTTGACTTGCACGGTTCAGGCTGTTGTGGATTTCAAAGCTGATCTTGAGCACGCATCTACAGAGCATTCAACTTTCTGCTTGCGAGATTTTCTGTGACATGAGGAATCTCCGCCAAAGACCAAAGAGGCTGGACAAGGACTGCAGTGCATCTGTAATTTAGGCTTGGGCCCGCGCCCTTACTGCATTGCGCCGGCTACAAGCTGGGGCAAGATTTACCAGGAACATCCGCCAGTCTCTTCGCGGAATTCAAAGAGCGCAAGCCTTGGGAGGGAGCTGAATCACCGTGTGAATAGCCTAGTCACTAGTCATTTGTCACGAAGCCACCAAGATGAGTGCTTCATTGCTGGTACACAGTTGCTACACCAACCTGATTGGCTACTGCTACTGTGGACCTTCATGCCGTGGTGCTGACAGAAAGCCCTCGCAGGCGAGAGCTCTCAAGAAGAGCTGCTTTGATAGAGAGCCACCTCAAGAGCGCCTGCCCTAGCAGAGAACGGTGAAACTTACATGCATTGATGATTCAAATGATGCACCGCGAGGCCAGCGATTTTTGGACGCACCCGTGCAGCTAGCTCAGCCTGCCTTTGCTAGTCGCCTTGCGTGCTGACGTTGGCTTCCTGCGCTGTCAGGAATCACATGGCCAGACTCTTGGTGCTGCCGCAGGACAGTTCTGCCATGGCCTAAGGTCAGCTGGTCAGCTGAAAGCAAGTTTCACGCATAAGTCGGCATTGCAGTTGATGGTTCACAGCTGTTGCTCCTAGCAGATGCTGGTTCAAGGAATGTTCAGGATCAGTAGATTGACCTCAACCACCTTCACGCGTTGTACTATCCGGCTGACTTCAACAGCATGCCATACGCACATGACATATGAACATTTCTAGGACGATAGCTGCACCTGTCGGGAGCTGCCGAGATGGCGGAATACCACGGCGTGTGGTCACACCTGGCAAAGGAATCGCTACCAGTAGATGAGAATCTGGCTTCCTGGACCGTGGAAGAGAGATCGCAGTATCTCTATACAAACGGCGTTCTGGTCGAGGGCCAGGAGTGGTGAGGGTGGGTATATAGCAAACGATGGGCATTTAGAGGCACACACACTGCAAGGACCGTTGTGGCAAATGTTAATGTTGATTGACTTGAGGACCCGTTCCTGGTCACGTTCCTTTGTGACATTCTGGGCAGTAGTGTCTTGCCAGCTCCCTGGTCACTGTGCCGAGACGAGCACAACAATCTCTTCTTCTGGAATCAGACCTCCAATGAGACTGCATGGGTTTCGCTCCTAGTTCGACTTGCTTCGCAAGCTTCGCAAAGCGACTGTGCCAGAAAGTCATTTGAACACTTTGCTGTAGCTGAGGTGCACCCGCTGGATGCAACGCTTCGCGAGGTCATGGCGGCCTTCCAAACCTGTATCCAGCTGCCAGCACAGCTGAGAAACCAAGCCTTGAACTCACTGCAGGACTCCGGCAGCATTGCTTCTTGTTGGTTAGGATGCAACAGTTCTTCAGTTTGAACATTTTGAACAGGACTCCTGGGAAGCTGGTATTACCAAGATGCTCTTCGAATGGGAGCAGGCGGCAGATGAAGCCGGCCAAGTCTACTACCACAATGCTTCAAAGGAGCTATCCATGTGGGAACACCCTTCCTTGGTCTTCCTGCCAAGACAGTTCATGCAGCACGGCTGCATTGAGCCCAGACACTATTTTTGGCCTGATTGCCGTGATGAATTCTGAGTGCTTAACCCATCTGATCAGATGACTGTGCTTGTGTTTTGTACCGGCCATTGCAGCTTTTTTAAGAACAAGAGTTTGGGAGGCTTCTCCGGATAAGCTAAGGAGAGAGCAGGCCTTGAACAGGCTGCGGGATCTGGCATACTTGGAAGGTATTGGTGCCCTGACAAATCTCGGGGGAAGCAGAGAGATCTACCAAGCCCTCAAATTGTCCAAGATGAAGCTGGCGGAGCATATTTCGTTGCTATCTCCAAAGTCCAAGGATCTTTCCATGGAACGATCTGCAACAGCCGACACGACGCAGAGCTCTCTGTCAGAAAGCAAAGAGCAAATTCCGAGCAAGGCGCTTGCTCCCGAAAGCCCGGCCAACAGGGTCGAAGCCGCGCCGGCACCAACGCCACAGGCGCCGGATGATAAGGCCTCTACAGCCCCAGGACGTCTGATGCAGCGCGGCATCGAGTTTGAGAGGAACAATGCCACCGCAAAGTCCGTGTTGAGACTTGCAGGGGACCTCTTGCAGGCAAACGGGAATGGCCAACCAATCCGCCATAGCCAACGCTCCTCAGCTCTTCTGCGGGCAGGCTCGAAGCAGAGACCAAAAAGATCGCTATCCGATGGTAGCACTAAGTTCCACTGGGCGAAGTCGTCTGTAGATTTGCAAGCATCCTTGAGCCTAGAAGAGAAGGCTTGGTGGTGGCCGTGTGCCCCCAAGGGCGTCACCAGCCCTGTCAAAGTTTCACTGAATAGCTCCCGCGTGCTCACCAGATAGCAGAACACTTTTCGGGCACCCAACCACTGGGCACCCATCTCACCCCTTCCTAATGAATCAGGCATATGCACGCATCTAGCTGTATGGACGCCTCTCGCGGTATGCTGTACAGTCGAGCGGCGCTCAGGCCTTGACGACCAACTACAGCTTTTTCGAACAGCAGGTTGTGTCTCTGTGTTCAGCTGGCGGCTAATTTGCCTGCCTCAGAGAACCGGGCGGCCAAAGGCACCCCGCAGCCTGTTGAGACTTATGATGTACGGATCGTAGCAAAAAAGAGTCCAGGTTGTTTGCTGAACGGTTCTCCGCATCAGAACATGAGACCTCAAACTCAAAGGCTGGCGCCGTGAGACCTGAGCTCAGTTTTGCACAGCATTTTCACACCGCTGTGTCTCTTGTCACCAGGGCATCCAGGGCTCGCTAGTCCATGACGTCTGATTTGATCTCACTTGAGCTTTGAACAGGTCCATTTTTTGCTTTTGACAAGTTTTTGAGGCGGCGAGATGCTCTTTGAGGAGTTGCGGCGGTCCTTCGGGCTGTCTCAGCTGCGAGCTCAGGCAGCTTCCATACAGCTCAGGCCAGGCTGAGTCTTCCTGAGGTGTGCCGACAAGCAGAAGGCCTGGAGACCAGCGCCAATTCAGGGCGCCTCAAGTGATCAGAGCAATTTTTTTGGCCAGCCGAAGATCGAGTCAACTGAAGCAGAGCATGTCAAGTCAAACAGCCCAGCGGTGTCCAATGCCCTTTCGAGCCAGTGAACAGTGCGTTGAAGAGAACAACAGATATAAAGTGAGGATGGAATTGGCAAGAGCGACGCGCATTACTTCCACCCCTCTCCCTCACTACGCTGACATACACGTCATATTAACATCATATAATATATCCCCTCCTTGATTCGTGATGTCCCCGTCTCAGTTTGTCTTAAGCTCGCGCCATTCCTGTCGTTCTCCAGCCTTTTATCTGGCATACCTGCTTTCTTATTCTTGCGAGTCCTGTTGACTCAGCCACCATGGTTCTGACAGATGTGTTTGACTCTTGTGCCCCGCCTTAAAAATTGGATACAGTCGAATTTGCCATTTTCAGGAGGCGAAGTTGCTGCAGCATTTTTGTTCCATAGCAGAGAACGGAGGACGGGTCGGGATACAGCTTTTGTAAAACGAGACAACTATACTCCAGCACAGGACAGCGGCTGAACCTGAGCGCAGCATTCGCCAATGACAAGCCGCTGAAGGTCTGGCAAGCTTTGTGGAAGTTTTGAATGCTACGCCAAGTGTCAACGGGCCACTGCAAAGGTGGAGCTTTGCTCCGGGGAAGCTGCCATCCAAGAAATGTCTGAGCATTGCTGGTCTGAACACATCCACAGTTTTTTGATTTAAGGGTGAATGGGTCTGTGCACAAGCAGCAGCTGATGCTGGGAGAGCCAGCTGGGCATGCGTCGAAAACAGGCCACGAAGCCCAGAATGTGGCAAAAATTGCATGCCGCCTTTAAGCAGTGCAGATTAAGCAGTACTCCACAGTGAGCCACCTGAAGTGCTGTCGAGGCGAGATCGCGTCTTCCGCACATTTTCCCGTGCACTTCTCACTGGAGCGCAGGGCTTTGGGTTCTTGCTTCAATGTTGGCGAGCTAGCACATCGCAAAACAGAACGCTAATGATTAAGGTGTCCCCGAACCTCTGTGTGGTTAGCGCTGATGCGGCAGTTTTTCTTCGCATGCTGATGGCCCAGCTATTGGGGGATGCGGTGCATATTAGATGAAGCATGATGACCGTCTTTGCAGGCTCGAAGCCGGCTCTGTAGCCCATGTGTATGTGGCCGGCCTGCACACAGGGCAATGCGTTTTTTGATGTTTGGCTGGCAGTCGAATAGTGGTGATGTTGGTGGAAACCTTGCAAAGGTGAATTTCCCTGAGCCACCTGTTCGACGCGGTCTGGGTGATGCCGATGCTGAAGGCGCTGCTTGCCTTCCTCTGTTGTCAACTAGGGCATGCCAGGACTTTGTTTTAGGGGCCTAATTTTTCTGCTTTGTACACGTTTTGTTCGCCGTCTTCGAGTGGGGTCTTCGCCGCCTCTGAGTGGCGCGTTGAAATTGTTCGGAGATGTTCGGTGCTTGCAAGTGGCATGTTGCTTTGTTTTAGCGGTTTTGTTGTCCATTTTCTGTTGTTGTCCCTTTTGTTCTGAATGCACCTCGAATTCCTTTCAATCCCTCACGCGCACTCTAGCTCCACTTACATATGCACGGGCGCACGCACGTGCCAGCCTGCCTAAGCAAGACGTTGGAGTCCTCCCGGCATCAGTAAATATAAACATGTAAGGCGAACCAGGTAAGGGAGTTTCTGGGGAAGGGGAGCCAATACTCCACGGTGCGTCTCCCAAAGAAGCACCTAGCCTCTAGGTCGTTCTGTGACGGAAGCTTGCAAAAAGTCATCAGGATCTAGGCTCAATAATTTCAGGGATCTTCTTTCGCGAAGCCATGTCGCGCAAGCCGCTGCATGTGAGCCTGCTTAAGATTAGCTTGGCCATAATGCGAGGATGACACGCACGAATCGAGAGGCTATCAAGGCTTTGTTAGCCCAAGCATCCTTGAACGCAGAATTCCCGACGTCTCCCAGGGTTTCGGGTTGTCATTGACGGAGGACTTGGGGTATCAGCCGATAAAACTGCAATGATGCATTCCGGAGCGCATGCACCATACACCGCGCAGACTAAGATTCTTCATGCATGACACAAGTTTCCAGGATAGGACTGGGTTGTTGAGGAAAGAGAGCCAAGTGGCTAGGAATTAGCTTCTGGCAGCGCGGTAGTTGAAGCAGCAGCAGCAGCAGCAGCAGCAGCAAGACGCAGGGCATTCCTCATTCACCCATACACCGACCCATGCACAGACTCATGAGCTCATTCCCTTCGTCCTTCCTGCCTCCCTGACTATTGAGAGATTTGCGAGTTTCGCCTTTTCGCCGGCCCCCATCTTCTCTCCTGCGTGGCGAGAACAATCTGAGCATGTCCGGGACAATTTCTTCTTGGCTCCTGAGTAGGCTGGCATGTTCCTTCGGAGCACCTTGCGCGGTTAATTGCTTCTCCAAAACTCGCGCTTGGATGCGCGTGGTTTTCGCTCGTTTTTTGATCCTGACCACGAGGAGCCATTGACATTGGCCTCAAAAACCCCAAACAGGTAAAAATCTGTCTTCTTGCCCCAGCTGCTCCGGCCAGAACATGGTTGTCCAAATGTTGTCTGTGCTGTCAGGAGCGAATGGCTCTGAGACTGGAGACGCTGTGGCTGCCCCGCACCTTCTGACAGCCGTCTCCCAAGAATGCCGCAGAGTGCCTCAAAGGCATAGACATGCACTGAAGGCTGTCAAGCCAGGCTTGCAGCAGCGGAATATGTTTCCACCAGCTTTATGCGCGCGATTTGGGAATGCAGCTTTCACATGCAAGGCAGAGACATTCCGCTCTGTGCGTCGGGTGCTTTCTTCTGGTGGCAAGCTTCTGATTCATTCAGATAATGTCCGGCTCAAAGCATCTCATCAGGTAGGACCCATTATGTACTGATCTTCAAGCTTGGATCCCCGCAGGTCACCTATCTGCGGCAGCTTGCTGCTTGTTTGGGTGCTGTTGACGGCTTTGCAGACGCAACAGCCTTGGGCAGAATTCTTCTAAGTTGGTCATAGGGAAACAAACAATGATGAGCCTCCTACAAAGCAGTAGCTTGCAGACTTGCAGCTGTGCATACTCAAGAAGCCAAACAATAACATGCCTCCCAAGGTAGATCCTGGCCCTGGCGCTGTCCGCGACAGTCCTCGACTTGGTGCTATCAATGCTTGGATGCCATCATATTACGTTTCTTCAGGGATTTGGTTTGAAGCCCGACTGAGCTGATCAGCCTTAGCAGAAAAAATCTAAAACTGGCATAATTTTGCTGCCTTTCCAGGCCTAGACTCTATCAGGAGAGGTTTTTAGGGTGGCATCCCCTCAGACCTCGTGAAAGGGCCGTGCCTGAGACGACTGGAGTAAACATCCACTAGGAGTGGCAAAGGATACAGTGGGAGTCTTCGCGCCCTCTGACCGGACCTGTTTCGGCTCGGTTCAGGGAAAGCAAGCCGCTACCACCTTGCTACAAAGAAAACTGCTCTGCCCCAGCCTGCACGTTTGCTTTGGTCTGCTTTCGTACCCCGGTCCCGTGGGCGCAAGTTGTAATTTCGCTGCGGTCTGAGGTGCCAGTGGTTCGAATCCGGACTTGGTGACAGCCACCAGCTCAGAGCCAGGCTATTGCAGCCCTTGTAACGTGTAGAGCAGGAAGGCTTGAAATGTCTTGAAAGCCTGCTTCATCCCCGCATCTGCATCATCTGCCGCCGACGCTGAGGTCTGGCGCGGACGGCCTGGAGTTGAGGCAGGCGTGCCGGATCCGGAGGCCAGTGACAGGATGAGCCACCTTGAAGAGCAGCAGTGGACAACCTGTGCAAAAACGTATATGCAGGGTTCCTGGTCAAACTCCGTATACTTCTAGCGGTTTTAATCGTGTCCTTGCTTGATGTGTGGAGGTTTGTACGTACGTACGTCAACGCACTGCCTCCCTGCAGGCTTCGTCATATTTTGACCGCCTTTGGAGCCACGGCCGTTTTACGCGACGTTACTTCATCCTCGTGCGGCGAGTGGGAAAGTTACGTGAGACACCCCAGCCTGCAGGATTGCCAAGGGATAGTCACACAGCTCTACGAATGTCACGATACATGGCTCTGACGTGCTGTTATGTCAAAGCAGTGGTTCAGGATCCAATGTAGACGACGACGTTGAGCATGCCTGCAGACAGCCCGTGCTTGCTGGCTAGACAATCCAAAAAAAGATTTCCATTGCTGTGTTACCAACTGCGCAACTCTACCTTCAAAGCAGTTTGCAGACCCAAGCAAATAGCAAAGCCGACTTCAGCCTCGCCGCCCAATGCCGGCCGCCAGAAGCAGGAGGTCGCAATGCCAGAAGTACTTGGACCACGGAGGAGAGCCATCATCAGGACCATGAGGAGATGTTGGTCCTGTCGCTCCCTTCAAGGCGTCGGCTGTCCAACAGAACTAGTGCACTTACTTTTGCACGCAGAACGCAGAATCAAGATCATCAAGCAGCTGTGCAAATCCTGAGAACCCTTGATACTTGTAGCTTGTTGCAGCTTGCACACAATATGATCAAGTTGACAGGCGTATCTTGCTTGTCCTTCTGGTACCACAACTTTGCGCAGCGAACGCTGGCCTCGACCTGTCACAGGACCAGTAGGGACAATCCAGTGCGAATCTGGCCAATCTAAAACCATGTCGAGCTTCGGATGTCACGAAAGCTTCCCGTGTGGGAGTGGGAGCTTCGTTTAGTACCTCAC